GCATATCTAGCATTGGACATAACCAGAATCATTCCTGATATCAAAAATAGGGGTGATTGCTGTCGGATTAATGTCTTGAAGTAACTTAAAACACAGACTATGAATAGTAAGCTTAGTGCATAGGAAGAAAAAAGATGCACACAAATATAATTGAACATTTTAACGGACGTGCTTTGTGCATGTTATATCTGTGTCCTTCATTAATGTTTTTAGTTACAGTTTGCAGTGTTTTAAGTTTACTAGCATCTTTGGAGTAGGGGTTCTGAACATGATTTGTAACTTCAAAATAGAAAGCTCAGTGGAGAGAAAGGAAAAGTTGCACACAAATGTAATTGAACTTTTCAACAGAAATACTTTGTACATGTTATGTCTTTTTTTTCATTGATTTTTGTGGTCATTATTTGCGTAGTTGCAAATTTTTTTTGGTATCTGTGGCTTAGGGGTTGAGAACATGGTTTGTACCTCCAAAATACCCAGTTTGATTTGGGGCAAGAAATTTGGCAGCAGACCAGTTTGCATTGATTTCGACAGTGGTATGGAGAGTCGACTGCACATAAAGCACTGGCAAACTTCTAAGCTTAGTAAAACCATAAACAGCCAACATGTGTAGGGGTTGGTTTGTGTGTTCCTGTAAAGGATACACAGCTAACTTTAAGTTTCTTCATGTCAGCACCTGGTCTGTAATGCTCTTTATTTTTACATTTATTTCCAAGGTGACGGAAGAAAACCTGAGTGAGGCTGAAACAGGTCCTGGGGTGGCTGCTACCCCAGCCAGTCCATATTCTGAAAGCTCTGCAAAGGAAAGTACAGCGCGGCAAGGTTTTAATATAACACAGGAAGCTACTTCCAGTGACATACAACAGTCTGCAGATGATAGTGATGACAACGAGCATGTCACTGTAAAAGCTCCTAAATCTGATGTAGGCATTACTGCTGAAAGTGCTCCCTTTGTACGAAGTCAGTTTGGTTCAAACAAGTCCACCTCCAGTAGAGGCTCCACCAGCTCCACATCACATCTTTTGGTAACACAGGATAATGCGCAGGAGAAACAGCAGAGGCAGCAAGATTCAGAACATTCCAGCTCTAGCCATCCCATTGATGCCAATGTTGTAGTTACTGTCACTAGTCCCAGTGTTGATGTTGAGGACAACGATGATGAGGCTAACATTGCTGAAGATTCTGTTGACTATGCAGCAAGTAAAGGCAGTATTAAAGCTAAAAGACATTCTATGTCTGCTAATGTAAAGTCCAGTAACAGTTCTGGTGCTTCTTCAGAATCAACTCCATTAGGCAGAAAATATCTAGTGAGGCAGCCATCTCATATTGTGGATACTGAGGGATTTAGTGATAAGGTCCTCGGTGAGATCAGTCAGTCTATGACACCATTTAAAGAGATCCACAGTGACAATTATTTCACAGCTCCACGTGAAACAGTTCATTTAGACGATGTCTCATTTAATCATCTGAACCATGGCTTCACGGATACACTGGACACTGAAATTGTGACTTCGATATATGCCGATAGTGCTCCAAGAGGTTCAAAGGGAAGCAGTCCTTCACACTCTCCTTCTTCTAAGAGAAAAGAATCTGAGGTTAGCAGAACGAGAAGTGCTGTGGATAAAATCAGAGCCTCCCATCTCTGGAATCGACGTTCGAAGAAAAAAACCTTGGAGCTTATTATACCAAATAAAAATGGCATCCATCAGACAGATGAAATCACAGGAGAAACTGTATCTCATCTGGCCATTGATAAGAAGCCATCCAAGAAGTTAAAGAAGAATCGCAGGTCATCTTCGGCCTCTAGGAAAAGAACCAAAGATAAACTAGATACAACAGATAATGGCAGTAATCATCAGAGAAACAGTGATTCTTCAGCAGCTTCAGAAGCTTCTGATGTGGATGTCAAATTCACCGAGACAGCTTCACCAGACCCAGATCTGCAGAGTGAAATAGTTGATAGCAAAGACTCCAATTCTTCAGAAGCAGGAGGATCACATCATCAGTTTAGTTTTTCTGGTGCTGCCAGTGCCATGAATGCTTTCAGAAAAATGATGCATCGAAAGGAGCCAACTGACACTGTGGAGGAGGAACATGATGCATCTCCAACATCTAAAGATGGAGAGTCAGCCAGTGCTGCACGACGTCGCTGGAAAATGATCTTTAATGTATCAAAGTTTGAAACTATAGTGCGGACACCACAAGCGCCTGAAGTAATGGATGAGAGTTTGTTTTATAACCAGAACATCAAACATCCAAAGACAAGGCATCGGCTGGTGAGTTCTGGCATGTTTTCTATAAAATATGGTATTTAATATTACACAACTTTTTTTAAAAATAAATTCTTTTTTTTTTTTTTCAAGTTCTCTTTCATTTATCTATTATAACAAAAACATTCATACAAAGGACATAAACTGATACGTTTTATGACATACTAGATTTAATTGCAAGTCTTCATCCTGGAGAGTCAAAGAAAATTGTATTTTTCCATCCTCTGCTTTATTTTTATCTTCATCTTTGCATGCTTAGGCATTGTCCCTTACTGCACCTGACGAGATCCACCCCCACCCTCCCCCTACCCTTCCCCACCAGACCGTTGCCCCCAGCCCACAAATTTTTTTTGACTGACAAAGCTACCACCCTAGTGTTCCCACAGTTGGAAAAACTTGTCTAACAATAAGCTGTCCTTGCTGCCACTTTAGTGCACCTGAGGCTCTTAGCACCTTTCCATCAGCCCACAGTTTTACAATTTGTTTTGGAAGGAGGTCTTGGGATAGACAAACAAATGAACAGACAGACACTTGAATTGTCAGTTTTAAATTATATGACTCATGTATTTATACCCATACTTTCTGACATTTTAGATGTCATAACTATTTTTGAAGCTGATGTCAAAAGTTGGAAGCATGTAACTCCTGAAGCATGTAACTCCTGAAGCATGTAACACCTGAAGCATGTAACACCTGAAGCATGTAACTCCTGAAGCATGTAACACCTGAAGCATGTAACACCTGAAGCATGTAACACCTGAAGCATGTAACTCCTAAAGCATGTAACACCTGAAGCATGTAACACCTGAAGCATGTAACACCTGAAGCATGTAACACCTGAAGCATGTAACACCCATTGAAACGTGAAAATAGCACAGAATGACATGTGCATTATTCAGGCCCAGTCCTTTGACTTAGGAATCATTGTCCCGGCTTGGTAGAACAACACAAGTGAGAAACATTGGTGTAGCCAGAACTACACTAATGCCACCTGAATCAAATTTGTTACAAAGGAGAGGAATATAATATGAAAATAAACACTACGAAGATAAAGACAATGATGATAGGAAGACATAAAGACAATTTAGAAATTAAATTAAAAAACAACACCCTGAGACAAACAGAGGAATTTAAGTATTTGGAAGCAATTTTTACATCCGACGGAAAACTTGGCTAGAGAAATTAGCTCCAAATGTGCCAAAGCTAATCAAGTAATGGGTCAACTATCTCCCCTGTTGAGACACAAGCAGATACCTTGGAGTACAAAAGTGAATCTTATCAGAACTATTTTTTGGCCAACACGATGCTATCAATGCAAAACGTGGACACTTACATTCTCCAATGAATGTAAAATTGTGACAACAGAGATGAAATGCCTTAGAAGAGCTGCAGGAGTTTCAAGGAAAGACAGAATACGAAATCAGGAAATCAGATGAATGCTAGGAATAAAGCCAGTCTTACAGGTCATCAAAGAACAACAAATGAAGTGGTTTGGACACCTAACAAGAATGCCCTGGTACTATCCACCACAGCGAGCCACACTAAAACGTTACAACGGGAATAGAGCGAGTGGAAGACCTCGGAAAATATGGAGTGATGGCATTGAGAACAGCCTTACAGAAATGAACATCAGTCTTAATAGAGCTCTTGACTGAGCTCATCAACGAACATTACCCCCCCCCCCCCCCCCCCCCCCCTACCTGACACTTTGATGAGGTCAAAGGTGGAAGAGAAGAAGAAAAAGAATTAATTAATGTCACTGATATTTCTGATTAATTTCAGAACTTGGACCATCCATTGCTGAAAGTGCCACGAGACAGTGAAACTGAAAATATACAGTAACAAATATATTTTTTTTAATGTGTCAGCACAGGATTGAACCCATGACCTTTTGGGTTTTTGGCAGATATCATAACCACCACACTAAGGAATCATCTGATCTTAATTTGTGAAAGTAATACACTATATTGCAGTGTAAGAGACAGCACATCAGTCGGCAGGTCCTGGACAGTATGTGGCTCTCATGCATGCCTAAAAGTCTCTGTCTTTAGCCTATTCTACTGCCTTGTGTGCTTTCATAGCCAATACATCTTCAGTGTCCTTTATTGACCTTTGCGACTGTGCCAGTTTCTCCAGGCCACCATGATGTTTTAATATGACCAGAATACTTCAGCTTTTGGAACAGGATGCTGTCTATAAGCCAATTCTCCTTTATCTCAGATATGTAGAGTGTTGTTGTTTTTCTTCTTCTTGGTTCGTGGTATTCTACGAAATTTTACACTTGGTGAGTAATTTGGCCAGCACCATTTTGGCAACCTTTACTTCCCAGGACATCACCTGATACTCATTTTAGGCTGGGTTGAGCTAGAAGCCAAGATCAGCTTTGAGAAAAATTTGCCTCAAGACCTTTGGTCCTGCAAGCAAGCATCTAACGACTATGTTACTGAAGTTCCCTCTTCCACACCTGCTAATATATGCAATAGTTAATAGCCAGAAGTATTAAAAAAATTAAAAAAATCCAGTATTCTGAAAAGACATGCACACACAAAGAAAACTTTATATTCCAGTCATAACCAGAAAAGGGTAGAAGAAGCTATCTATGTTAGAAAGTCTTTACCATTATATGAGATTAGCTGTGTAAACAAATACATACTGATTATTTTATCATCCATCCTCAGATGAAGACTTTTAGAGAAGGGGTGGACAAGCTGTCCAGACATGGATCTCGAAGAGATAGCATGGAGTTTGACCTCAAGATGGGCAAAAACATATTGTCGGTGCCATCTGGCATGTACCATACAGAAAGCGAGGAAAATATTCTGGAGAGAGGATTATTAGGATCAACCAAATTGTGGATTGGCAAAGATTATGTGAATTTTATTTACAAAGACTTTGTGAATCTGGACCAGCCGTTTGAAGGTTTGCTGTTTGCTTTTGCTGTTTATTTTATCTAGTATTTTTAATAATAATTATTGACAGGGAGCATGAAACATACCACTAGGATGAAGCAATCTGTGTGTACTTGTAGGGAATCGGCTGGTCGGAAATTATTTGTGTTCATGCTGTCTCTCCTACACACTGAGCTTGAGATTTAAATAATATCTTAACTAGTAAGTCATCTAGGATTCTTGATAGAACAAAGAATATTCAGTGCAGTCTGTCTTCATTAGTTGAGATGAGAAAGAAAATGTCTCGACACTAAATAAATTCTACGTCGGGCTCTCTTGCGGGAGACCTGGGTTCGAGCCAAGAAAAGATTGCTGTTTTTTTTTTTCATGGGACAGAATTATACATCCTAACCTGTACAGTCCATGGCGACAGCACTAGCTGTGTGGCCCTAAATACTCAGGCTCATGACCCCTGTCTACACCACCCTAAAAAGCAGAACATACAGAATGTAGTGACAGTTTTAGATAATCCTATCCTGATTTACAGATATTGGAATGCAGAATTATTTGAAAGTAGCAGAGATGTGGTTTTATAGATGAAGATGGGAATACCCTGGACAGATAAAAAGAGTAATGAAGATGTTTTGAAAGAAACTGGCTTACAAAGAGAACTGATTGCCCAGATCAGAAGGAGACAATCTACATTCTTTGTTCATATCATGAGAAGGAGAAAACTGGAATACACCATGACGGTGGAAAAGTTGGAGGGGAAAAGAGGCAGAGGAAGACTAAGAGAGAAGATGCTGGACAGTTTAACATCATGGCAATGGATCACGCAGACGTCAGTGCCCTTGGAGAGATAGGGCTTTCCAAGGATTTTGGAAGCAGGGAGTCCACATCACTGCTAAGACTACGAGAACTGGGAGTCAAGGTCGGCGCAGCCAAGGATGAGAGGCACACTGGATGAAAAAAAAAAGTCTTGTCAACCAGCATAGGACTGGCACTATTAATCAGGCAACACTGATGAATATGCTGAATAGGGAATTTGAACACCTGTGAACGTGTCCGGAGCGCTGTGAAGATAATCCAGCTCATAACTTTTTAACCTCCACTTTGATTATTTAGCACTTTCCGTATTGATCCTTTGACACCTGTTCCCCTTTCCTCAAATTTTTCACTGCTGTTTCCTGAGTACATGTCATATTTTTTATAATTCATTCACATCTGCAACCTTCTAAACAGCATTAAAAGTCTATGGTTAAGCATCAGCAAGGAAATCAAAGTCACAATTTTGAGATATGCATCTTCCCTATAGCACAAATATGGATATGAGCTGTGGACTGTCCTGCAGTCTTTAAGGAAGATGTTAGGGCTTTTGAGCTGGAATGCTACAGAAGAATTCTCAGAATACCATTTACGAAGAAGAAAAGAAATACTAACACCCTGAAAGATCTGAACAGGAAGATTGCTTGGCAAACAAAAACAAAAACTCTTGTCTATCAGGCATGTGTTCTCAGCACTCTGCATTATGGCAGTGAAACATGGTCAACTTATTTGCACCAGGAGAGACAGCTAAATAGCTTTCATGTGCGATGCCTAAAAAGAATACTTTGCATTAAATTGCAGGACAAGGTCACAAACATTGAGGTATGGGAAAGAGAAGGTACGACAACAGTCTTCTCAATGCTCAGTCTACGAAGGCTCAGGTGGCTGGGACACACCTGGAGAATGAAGGATATCAAAGTCCCTAAGGACACTTTCTATGGTGAACTAAAGACGGGTAGAAGATTTCGAGGCCAACCTCTACCACAATGTAAAGATGTGTGGAAGCGGGGTATAAATTATACAGGTATTTATGTGGACTCGTTGAAACAAAATGCTGCCATGGACCGTGTTATGTGGAGGGGGGCACATCAGAAAAGGAATGAGAATGAAGGAAGAAATCGTTACAGAGAGGATGAGAGCTGAGCGTCTGAGAAGAAACAGACTAAACACAAATGTTTTACAACAATGGTCCTGAAATCCCATGCTATAGTTGTGAAGACTTTTCTTAAAACGGGTGGGTCTTGCTAGTCACACTCGCCATGGCCATGGGCTGTGAGTCCCATGCCTCCTCGTAGCGCAATATTACACTATCGTCTGGAAAGACGGAAAAGTGCAAATCAGTCATCATATAAATATATATATATGTGTGTGTGTATGTGTGTGTGCGTGCATGCATTCATGCGTGTGTTTTGTAGAAGAATCTAAACAACATTGTAAAAATAATGCGGCTGGCTATCTGTCTTATGATTGGTGCATTCCCTATTTGTTTTCAGTTTATTTTGTTGTTTATGTTTCAGATTTCATCGACAGAACAAAATATCCCAGAATGCCTTGGCATGATATTGGATGTGTTTTGTATGGAAAGTCTGCTAGAGACCTTGCAAGACATTTTATAGGTCGTTGGAATTTCACAAAGGTAAGTTTTGAATAGGTCAGGCCAAAACTGCCTTTTATAAAATGAACATTTTGTGCAATAAATACATGACATTGGAGGTTAGAAAAAGGATTCTCGCAAACTATATAGAGCCAGTTTTAACATATAGCTGTGAATCCTGGACAATTAATAAACAAGCTGAACAATATCTTGAGGACCACGGAGATGTGGTTTTACAAGAGAATCCTTAGAATTCCCTGAACAGCTAAGAAGAGTAACCTAGATGTTTTGAAAGAGGCAGGTGCCCGAACACAAATTATCACAAACATTAGAAAGAGACATCATTTTGTGGTCATGTTATGAGAAGAAGGAAAATGGAACATGTTGTAACCACTGGAAATATTTGTGGAAAGAGATACAAAGGAAGACAGCATGAAAAGATTCTTGACAGCATTTTGTCATGGCATGAAAGGGTGTCAACACACAAACTGATACACACAGTTGCACATCAGTTTATGGAGAGGCATGATTGCCCATGGGAGACCTTGCAAGACACTTGATAATGAGGATGTTTTGAATAAGTAAGTACATACTTAACTCTTTGAGTCCCAGAGGGTTTAGCATCACAGACCCAATAGGTAGTCAAAAGAGACATAAAATCGGCGCATCGTGCATTCATTCGGCATCTAGGCAGAAACCTATGAACGTATGATGTGTTCCTTGGGACTCAAAGAGTTAATATCTAGTTTGTCTTCATTTGCAGTTAGCTGTTCTAAATTATGTTAGTGCAAGCATGGCTTAGAGGTGACAGCATCTGTTTCAGGCTCAGAAGTTTCTGTTTTAGGGTTGAGACTTTTTACAATCAATATTTGGTTTTTTAATGATAGCACATGTCCGATCTCTTGAGTAGCAGAAGATCATATGCCTAGTTTTCTCAGATAAGGAAGAGAAGGGAAAAAGGTTCCTATGTATAGTTGTGAGTATTAATAAACCAAGTTAGTAGACAGTAAGGTTGTCAGAGGGGACTGCAGTCAACCTGGTATAAATGAATTCACAACAGAAAAAAAGTGTGTGTGTGGGGGGGGGGGGGGGGGGGGGGGACACAAAAACATTGAACTGAAACCCTTATCTTTCTTCAAAATGGTAATGCATCTCCTAAGTGACAAGGAGCCAACAGTCTGCTTTAAATGGGTGTATTGCAGTGTATTTGAAAGGGGAATGAGGAAGAAGGTCAGTGCCATCTTCAAGGTCGAGATAAGAAACATTGTAATAAACTTCTCATGGGAGACAACCTCTACAACAAACTTCTCATAGGAAACAACTTCTACAAACTTGTCATATGAAACAACTTCTATAGACTTTTCATGGAAAACAACTTCTGCAAACTTTTCATGGGAAACAACAACTACAAACTTTTCATGGAAAACAACTTCTACAGACTTTTCATGGAAAACAACTTCTACAGACTTCTAATGGCAAATATTTTTTACAGACTTCTAATGGGAAATATTTTCTACAGACTTCTCATGGAAAACAACTTCTACAAACTTCTCCTGGCAGACAGGCAAACCTGCTAGCAGTTGTGTCATCACATGGTATGGAGAAATCATGAAATATTCACTCAGTCATTCCAGTTAAAACTGGAATTCGCCCCCCCCCCCCCCCCCCCCCTGGCCCCAATCTTCTCACCTGGTAGACTACTGTATTATTCTTCTTTGCTTTCCTGGTACAAATTATTGATCTTGTACAAGTTTTTTTTTTTTTTAAATAGTAATTTTCTTGAATTGTAAATAGTGTGCTATTGTTTTTACCTTGCAGCTGAAAAAATGTAAACGAAATCCAGATTTCCCATTTCTGATACCAAAGACTCTCACAAATTGTACCATCACCCGACCAATTAAAGATATCACCTTGCAGCGCATTGCAGCGAGAGCGCATACTCACATGGGGTGAGATCTGGCGGATGACCCCGCTGCGACTGAGCTTTATCGTTCGTTCGGCGTACGATGTATTACCGTCCGGTGTTAACATGGTTAAATGGTCTGCGACCAACGATCCGACTTGCCCGTTGTGCAAATCAAAGCAAACTCTTGAGCACGTCCTGTCCGCGTGCAGGAAAGCTCTAGGTCAAGGCCGCTATACCTGGCGCCACAACAAGGTGCTAAAGGAGTTAGCAGCCGTTGTCGACCAGGCTAGAATGAGGGCTAACGCCAGAGCCAGTTCTAGTATCGCCCCCATTCGTTTCCTCAAGGCTGGGCAGGTTCCAATTGGTAAGGTCAACAAAAACGCATTCGCTCCATCTGTGCTAGACTCTGCGAGGGACTGGTTACTGGCGGTTGATCTGCCAGGACATGAACGGTATCCCGAGTTGATCCGTAAAACCGGCCTGCGACCGGACATCGTTCTCCATTCTGCGCAAAAACGGCAACTCATCCTGATTGAGTTGACGGTCCCGTTTGAGTCGCGTATGGAGGAGAATCATTTGTACAAGCTCGAGAAGTACTGTGATTTAGCAGCCGGTTTGAGGAGAAACGAGGCTTACACAGTGCGGGTATTTGCCGTCGAAGTGGGAGCGAGAGGCCTCGTTTCCACTTCGCTCTACAATGTGGTGAAAGAATTAGGATTGCGCGGTAATGAACGGAAACGAACACTTAAAAAACTGGGTGAGGCAGCCGAAAGGGCCTCGAGCTGGCTGTGGACGCAGCGCAACAACGTAGGGGACGGGCCTCGGTGAGCTGGTCCGGGTATCTAGTGGAAAAGAGTTTCTTATCCCTTTGAAAAGTCCATCGTGTACGAATTGTCTGCCAGTGTCCCTCTGCCAACCGCTAATAAAAGTCCAATATGTGTCCGGTAAACCAAAGTAAGCTTGTCGCTCGGTCATCCAGGCATGCGAACTGTTCTAATTACGCTGTCGCGGCGACTTCTTATCTCACAGTACCTCATTCGAAACCACTAAGTCGTCTTGTCTCTGGCCGAAATAATAAAACCATCCGGTAATTCTGTGCGGCGGGGAAGCAGCCCTGAGCTTCATGAACTCAGGTGGGCCCACCTCCGAATACGTTTAGGAATCGTGGGCCGAAACGTGTGTCGAAAGAGGATAATTTCTACTGATGACTGTAGATCCCCGCTGTACTTGCTCCCTGTGAGTTTATTCTTATTGTACGTGGCTAGCCCACAAGACTACCAGGAAAGACTGGTGACTATCGGGATAGTCCTTTTGACACCTATGGAAAGACTGGCCTCCCGGTATCGCCGGGGGGATAAACTGACATCTGGAGACAGATGTCGACTGTGGACCGGGTTGATCACCCCTAACACAGTATAATACCTCCGATTTCGAACAACCACAATGAAATATGCCCCCAGGGCCCTCCGAAAGGGGGGGGGGGGAGAATGAAGGGCCCAATCTGATTGATACCCTCGTTGATGACTTTGCTAGCCCCCGGACTGAGACACTCGCCCAACGTCCGGGCTGGCTCTGTACATGTGGGAAAAGCTTCACGGGGTTGCATGGTCTGAGAACGCATGCCGGAAGAATGAAATGCGAGGGTGCTCCACGCAGTAAACGCCGTCGCAAAACTACCACTCCTGTGATAGTTTCTGAGTCGTCAGGGTACGACGGGCAGGGTGAACCCCACTCGCCCGGAGAGGCCCATGACGTCGACTGCGGAGGAGCACCTTTGATGATTTCTGAAGAAGTGCGTTCCAAGATCAGGTTTCCACCTGCGAGCGAGAAGGTGGTGTGTGTGTAAAGTTGGAGGCTACATTATGTGAGGTACTTAAACAAACTCTAAACAAGAAGTCGCTAGGCGACAAGCTTACTAAATTTGGTGATGTAATATATGAACACTGCTCCCGCGAGTTCGGGACAGTAGTAAAGGCATAGCCGGGTGCCAAGCAGAATACTAGCAGGAGGCAGAGGGACATTCTGAAGTGTCGGGCAGACAAGAATGCCCTCAGAAAACGGTTCAAAGCCGCTACAGGCAGCGAACGGGAGGGGCTGTACGAAGTTTGGTTGCATTTAAAGAACAAACACAGTGCCCTCTGTCGCGCCGAGCGTTTCTGTAACAACAGACGGAGAACCAAAAGGGAGCGAGAGAAATTCTTTAGGGACCCGTATCAGTTCGCCCGAGGTCTATTCGAGCAACCGAAGTCTGGGACTCTGGTTGTCAGTCAGGAAGAACTAGAGCTACATCTACGCAAGATGTACTCGGATAAAAAGAGGAGTGAGCCTCTCGATGACAATCCAGAGATCCTTAGCGGACTCAAACAGCCTTCGGTGCCGAAGGTACCATTTAAAATGGTACCTCCCCTTTGGTCTGAGGTTGAGGACGTTGTGAAAAAAGCCAGCGGCAAGTCTGCCCCAGGTCCGAACGGTGTTCCGTACGTTCTTTACAAGCGTTGCCCGAAAATCCTAAAAATGCTTCACGTCTTGTTGAGACAAGCGTGGATCCGCAATCACATATGTCCAGAGTGGTCAAAGGCAAATGGGGTCTACATTCCCAAAGAGCAGGACTCGAAGAGTCTTTCCCAATTCAGGCCCATCTCGCTGTTGAATGTTGAGGGTAAGATATTCTTCTCAGTCATGGCTCGCCGGCTCACACAGTATCTGATGACTAACAAGTACATAGATACGAGTGTTCAGAAGGGTGGTATTCCAGGCGTTCCTGGGTGCCTTGAACACGCGACCATGATCTGGGAGGCTATCCAGAGAGCCAAGCATGAGAGAACCGATTTGCACGTTATATGGTTGGACTTAGCCAACGCCTACGGGGCAGTCCCCCATAGGCTACTGTGGCGAGCCCTTCGCATGTTTCACGTACCGACACAGATCAGTCAAATGGTCGAGCAATATTTCTCCAAGTTCGCTTTGCGCTTCTCTACCTCGACGTTTACCACGAGGTGGACTGAGTTGCAGATTAGGATAGCTATGGGGTGTACGATCTCACCTATACTGTTTGTCATGGCAATGCAGATCGTGTTAGACGGGGCGGCCGGCTACGGACTGGGCCTTCAAATAGGGGATCACTGGTTGCCGCCACTGCGCGCATTTATGGATGACACGACTATTATAACGTTCAGCGAGGAGTCTGCCCGCACGATCCTGAATAGATTGGACGCGGTGGTCCAATGGAGCGGTATGCAGTTTAAACCGCAGAAGTCGAGGAGTCTGTCAATCCATAAGGGCAAGGTTTCGGCAATCAGTTTTACGGTGGCAAGGAACAAGATCCCTACGGTTCTGGAGGAACCGGTGAAGAGTCTCGGTCGCGTTTACGATTCGAAGTTATCTGACAGAGCGGAAGTCCGGCGAATACATGAGTCACTGGCTACAGGCCTGCTCGCGATCGAGCGATGCAGGCTGATCGGGAAATTCAAGGTATGGTGTCTCCAATTCATGTTGATTCCGAAGCTCCTATGGCCACTGCTAGTCTACGAGGTGACGATGACTGCAGTGGAAGCCATGGAAAAGAAAATCAACACAGCCTTAAGAAAGTGGATTGGAGCACCGCCTTGTCTGACCGACGTGGCTCTGTATTGCAAACAGGCTAAGCTGGTACTTCCGTTCAAGTCGATAACAGAAGAGTTTAAAGTCGGCAAGGTAAGACTCGCCATGCTTCTGCGCGAGTCTTCAGACCCAAATGTCATCGCTGTCCAGCCCGCTCTAAAGACTGGTACCAAGTGGAGAGTCCTCGATGCGATTGAATCTGCTCAGAACGCACTAAAATTGAAGGAGATTATGGGTTACACACAAACCGACCGTCGAGGCCTAGGGCACGGGAAGGTCAATTGGTGGTCAAAGGCCTCAGCCAAAGAGCGCCGAGACATGGTGATACAAACGGTGAGGGACAACGAAAACGAGGTTCGGGTCCAGAAAGCAGCCCAACAGTCGCAGCAGGGCCATTGGGTCAGCCTGGAGAGCGCATTGCCGAGAATACTCACATGGGGTGAGATCTGGCGGATGACCCCGCTGCGACTGAGCTTTATCGTTCGTTCGGCGTACGATGTATTACCGTCCGGTGTTAACATGGTTAAATGGTCTGCGACCAACGATCCGACTTGCCCGTTGTGCAAATCGAAGCAAACTCTTGAGCACGTCCTGTCCGCGTGCAGGAAAGCTCTAGGTCAAGGCCGCTATACCTGGCGCCACAACAAGGTGCTAAAGGAGTTAGCAGCCGTTGTCGACCAGGCTAGAATGAGGGCTAACGCCAGAGCCAGTTCTAGTATCGCCCCCATTCGTTTCCTCAAGGCTGGGCAGGTTCCAATTGGTAAGGTCAACAAAAACGCATTCGCTCCATCTGTGCTAGACTCTGCGAGGGACTGGTTACTGGCGGTTGATCTGCCAGGACATGAACGGTATCCCGAGTTGATCCGTAAAACCGGCCTGCGACCGGACATCGTTCTCCATTCTGCGCAAAAACGGCAACTCATCCTGATTGAGTTGACGGTCCCGTTTGAGTCGCGTATGGAGGAGAATCATTTGTACAAGCTCGAGAAGTACTGTGATTTAGCAGCCGGTTTGAGGAGAAACGAGGCTTACACAGTGCGGGTATTTGCCGTCGAAGTGGGAGCGAGAGGCCTCGTTTCCACTTCGCTCTACAATGTGGTGAAAGAATTAGGATTGCGCGGTAATGAACGGAAACGAACACTTAAAAAACTGGGTGAGGCAGCCGAAAGGGCCTCGAGCTGGCTGTGGACGCAACAGTACCTCCTTCGAAACCACTAAGTCGTCTTGTCTCTGGCCGAAATAATAACACCATCCGGTAAATCTGTGCAGCGGGGAAGCAGCCCTGAGCTTCATGAACTCAGGTGGGCCCACCTCCGAATATGTTTAGGAATCGTGGGCCGAAACGTGTGTCGAAAGAGGATAATTTCTACTGATGACTGTAGATCCCCGCTGTACTTGCTCCCTGTGAGTTTATTCTTATAGTGTGCACCATAACAATTATAAACATTTTATTCTTTAGCACCGTCTGGTTACAGAAAAAAGAAACATTGTTTGGGTATTCGATAAGTGCAATAAGTGCAAACATTGTTCCCACACAAAAAATATTGTAATGTGTGTATGATTGTCTTCCATAAAATACCACTTGACACATTCCAGCTTATGATTGACAGAAAAAAAAAGAAGTTTTGTAAGCTGTAATTCACACACAGTTGATGTGTTATTGATTAGTAATAATCTGATGAGATGTTTTTAACACACTTGCTGTATAATGTGGTAATCTTAGTTTCGGCTTCATAGTAAACAGGTCACTCACATGCTTGCTCTTCTCCTATGCCAATGAAAAACACACAGAATGTCCATCACTGTCCCTTGTGGGGAAAATTTACACAGACTGCAGTCTCAGCATATCCACTAGCATACACACACATTAAAAGCATAAGGCAGCCATCAGCAGTGCTAACACAAACAGTCCAACATTAGAAATGCAGTTCATCATCAATGGAAGCAGCAGTTATAAACAGATCATTAGTTGCGTACTTGATTAATTATAATCACTCAAAGCACCACCAGTTTGTGGCAACAGGCCGTCACTATTTTTTGAATATACAGTTCACAATACCACGTTGATCAGTCAAAAAACATTCCAAATGAAATCAGCAGCTCATAGTGCCATGCCATACACTCAGCTCAATAACAGGGTGACAAAACTGTATCCTTTCAGTCTACAAATGGAGGAAAAATGCAATGGCCACTGTCTGTCAGAAGCCAAAATTTGTCACAACTTAAAATATTTAACGTACCTATTCTCAGTTTTGATCAGAATGCAGTTGCTCTGCATCATCAGTCTGTAGTCAGATTTCTTAAATATATGAATCTGTGACACTCATACTAACTCACTTCATGAAACAGATTCCCTACTTTTTGTGAATAAGTCTTGAAAGAGGATATGTGGTTAGGCAGTCTTCATAAACTAATACAATGAAAATGCTAGGGGATCACTCAAGATGAATATGTACAGTCAGATATCAGATTGGAACTCTTAGTTTTCTGCTGAAGATGGGTACAGAGCACGTATGGATGTGTCTCGAGTGCTCTGATGTTGATTCCTTATTCAACATACATGTAAGACAGATCTGGTAACAGATGTAACTTAAGTTCTAGAACAACCAGAATTTTCTACAAGAGTTTTTTTTTTTTACAGCTGATGAATACAAAGAACAAGAAGACATGCCTGCAATTTTTTTGAACAAGGTCGTCCTTAAAATGTTTTTGTTTCAGAAACAAACAAAAAAAACAGACGTGTGAATTTGTGTAGATCTGCAGGTTTCACAAAAACATTAACTGTCTGCAGGTTTCACAAAAACATTAACTATCTGCAGGTTTCACAAAAACATTAACTATCTGCAGGTTCTGCGCAGCTGTGGTGGCTGGTCTGCAGGTCTCGGAGAGGTTGAGTATTCCATCCATGAAGCATACGAGCATTGCATTGAAAATGCCAGGAACTATATTTATATTGAGGTATGTATTCCAGTTTGTTGTTACAATGGACACTGCAGGACTTAGAACAGATGTACAGCTGCTAAGACTTCTACATCAGATAAATCTTTTTCTTTTCTTCTGCCTTCTAACCCCCAGTGGAGCATAAGACCTCAGCTAACTCATGGCAAGTCATTTTATCCTTCTCTTTCGCATGCAACTCTCAGCATGTCCTCCCAATCTTTTTAACTTTACTCTCTAGCTCCTTTCTTCATGTGTTTTCTTTGGTCTTCCTTTATTTCTGTGAGCAAATAGACCATCAGGGTCTGAAGAGAATGAGACACTGGTTAGTGACCAGAGGATCTGACAAGCACTAAGCACTCAGAGGAAAGGCATGATGGATATACATTCTAACTGCTACTGATCTGAACTGGAACTCTGCACTGGCTGCTGAAGATGAGACTGAGCACTTATCTCAAAGCATGCTATGTCAGTTCTTAAACAACTTTTCCCCATGTGGGTTCCAGTTCCCTGTTGTAGAGAAAATGAGAATAGACCCACTGCCTTCCCAGCAAGTATGTCGTAGAATTTGACTAACTGGGGACTTCTTCAAAGTCAGAGTACATATGCCCGAGCAGCAAGGAACAACCAGCTGCACACAAATAAACCAGTAAAGCTGATGTACATGCAAAACTCAGGCCATAGCAGAAAGCCAAAGACCAAATGGACGAATAACCATGACTTTCTGCCAGAGCATACAGCCAGTGAACAAAGAAGAAATCAACAAAATGGGGTTGCAGAACTAGACGTTTAGGAAAAAGCTCACAGATTTATGAAGTAAACTTTGTGCAAGTTAATAATTCTTTGACATTTGGAAATAATGTAGAGTTGGTCATGACTGACCTCGCTCCACACAAAAAATCAAAAAATAAAATGAACATTATAAATTATGCACACAGTAAAATATTTGCACACAATTGTATGAACTTGAATGGCATGTACTATAAATATTCTTTGTAAGTATGTTTTCTAATTTTAAAATTTTGCTTTTGCCTTAACTTATTTGACATGCTTTAAATAAAAAGTTTTGTCTATAGGTTTTTTAAAATGTTTCACACAGATCCTTAGAGCTTTTTCCCATTGTCTGAGATTAAACATCCACTTCACTATGCCAGGAACAGGGCGGGATAATTAATTATTGTATTTAAAAAATCCAGATAGTTAAACAGTTCAGGTTTGCACATGCCAGAGGTTGACATCATATAGACATAATAACCCCTAAGCCTTTGTTCTCCCAACATTTTCTCTCGGTGAAAGAAAACTTCAGTAGTTTTTGCAACTGATCCTCAATAATTTCCCTCAGTATTGCCAACCCCACATGGATATACACTTATATAGCGAGTGTGTGGATTTAAATCCTGACACTGCACATCCACGTGAGAAACTGGACTAATATCTGAGCTATGTTGATCCCAGTCACAGTACTGGATAACCAAGAAAACAGTAAAAGTGGCTCATACAATTAAAAAAATGTAACTGATATTCACAGCAGTAGGAAAATGGTAGTGAGATATCAAGAGTAATTCAAGACATGAATATGAAGATACACTCCTGGTATTATTTTATAACAAAAGTGATTTAACATTTAACTAATATTAATATGCACAAAGACACTTGAACCTAAGTACACAATTTATCCATCCATTTTTTTTAATAACGTGAACAAGATTTTAATTAATTTAAAGCAAAATAAATGGAGGATATTGATCTTGCAATCATGAGAGATATTAGCTCAGTGCTGATAGTGAGTTAATTCAGTAAGTTCAGTATGTGCAAATGGTAGTAAAGTGAGAATGTTATTTACACTGATGATATTTCTTATGAATAAAATTTCATAACTCGAAAGTATACCCCAGTGGATCTCAGTTTGATACTCTTCCTCTTTTCCCAGCCTGTCATCCTCACTGCTTCAGGCAGGTCGTACACTTGGACCATCTGCTACTTATACATGCTGACTGGTCCTTGTCCTGATGTGAACTGTGATAAAAGAAACAAGCGCATACGTGTAGTGTCTAGATTACACACAGTAGGCATATTGAAATAAAAACATATTTCACCCCTCCTCCTCCTATTCACATTCTCTTCAGTCTAGTCTGAAGGTCCTTTATCACATTGTAGTCAGTACATTTCCTGCCTTCCTCTACTTATGTCCTCTAATGATAGTTATGTCCTCTAAGTCTGATGTCCCTCATGCAGACTCAAAAATGACATTCAGTTTTGACATGGACATGTGGTTACAGGGTATGTGCTGAAAACCCCTAAACATTATATGTGTAGGCTGTGCCAAATATTATATTTCACAGCTGACTCCCAATATTTTATATCAGTTAAGGAAACATTGGGCTTTAAAGTAGAAACAAGTTGAAGTCTGGATGGTAATAATGTAGTGTTCTGCTTCTTCTTCAATGTTCTCATTTAACAGGGTGATTGGCATGCTGTTGCTCATAGCTAGTCTTTAATAGTTGTACCTTTTGGCCTAACACATTCAAAAACAGACTCTCTAGGAACTGCATTATGACATAGAATGACTAGCTTCTTTACTCATCAGTCTTTCCAAGGGAAGTCTCATAATAATTTGATAAGGTTTTATCTAACTTAAGACCATGTGTAGCCAGAATAAATGTTACTCCTGAGAAAGAGGTTGATATTTTAGTCATGTCCAAGTAGGCAGTGCATTATCCATATTGTTACAGCCATACAGTTACAGCACATTGATTTTTCTTCATATTTAACATTCACATTTCTCTTCAGAATCAGTTTTTCATCACGCAAGTTGGAAACCACAGCATTGTCCAAAATGGTATAGGAAAAGCTTTGTACAAACGTATTTTAAGGGCCCACAGGTTTGTGATAGCAGTTTTATGTTGTTTGGTAGAAAACATCACTGCATGTTGTCCCATTTTTCTTTGTAATTGTTATACTGAAATTAATGTTGGCGAAAACATTGAATAAGATCAGTACACTACTTCTATATAATAAGAGGGAATAGAAATACCTGACATGACAAAAGAAAATTGAAATAGTTTTGGCATATGAAATGTTGTGAAGGTCTTTAAATGGATCTGGGGAGGGGGAGGGGGTAGGGCCTTAGGGGTGTTCTAGAAAAATGGATGGGAAATAGTGGATTTTAGTTGTAATAAATAATTTCTGCCTGATAATATGAATGATTAGTACAACTATCTATCTCCTGCTAAAAAAGGGGTCTGGGACATTACATTCATCAGCCAAGTATCATCTCTACAGCAACCTGACTGCTTTCATTATTGACTATGCTCCCTATAGGCATACAGTTCTTCTGAACAAAGGAAACACCTTGAACTTAAAGTGGGAACTACCATCACCATGAACTTAAGGTGTGGACCACCGACACCATATATGGTGACATATGTATGAAATTATCACCTGATAAGACTCAGATCAGAAATGTATCATGGATTTTCTGTCCAGGATATTTGGATGTGTCGGGTAATGAGGAGGCTGTTGGACTGGCTGCTGCCACTCCTCTGGGCAGTGATCTATTTATAGTAAATAGATGTGGAGAGTGCTCTCTAGGATTAAAGGACAGTGCAACAGAACAGAACAAAGTATCAGCACCTTGATAGACTAATTCAGTTGGGATAAGCAGAGGTTTTGGAAGGTATTCAACACTAAGGCAGGAAACATAGCAGGGCAAACTTTAATCATGTTGCAGCTTCTGGTTATGGGGGAAGGAGATGGAGCACATATGGGAATGTCCTGAGTGCAGTGATGTCAGTTCTTGATTGATTAATTCATTCTACTAAGATGTTTTTTTGGTTTTCAGTGCTCAGCTGAGGCAGGATTATCTTGTCCAAGCACAGTGTTTGGGGTTTTTACCTTCCTCCTAAAAATTGTTAGCAGACACTTTTATAGGAAGGGATAGGGTTGAGGAAGGGAACTGGCCACCCCAGCATGTGCCTCATGGTCTAGAATGTATGAAAGCCTAACCTCAATTCCCTCCCCCCTCCCCCTCCCCCAGCGACAGTAACTGCTAGCCTCATTCACTGTACTTTTGTACTATTGTATGTCACACAGGGGCTCACAGTCTGTTCCTCCATTCCATTCAATCCTGTGCAGTCCCTTCCATATCATGGATGGAATCTTGTCCAGCACCTTTGGCCTCTGTCATCAATGTTCATTTTAGGGGTTCTTTTTGGTGACCTTGCTTCCTCAGTCCCTTTATTTTATAGTGCCTGTTTAGTGATTCTCTGCTCATTTCTTTTCAGGATGCGTCATATATAGCGCCATCTTCGTGGACTTACTGTTTATCAGTGGTGGCCCAGACATTTCTCTTATTTCATCACACCTCTTGAATTCATCCCATTTTATGTTCAACATTTTTTTTTTCAGGCATTAGTTTTCAAATGCATATAACTTTCATCCCATGTCAGTAACTGCTATGGGTCCAACATCTTCATCTATCCTCAGGAGTAACAGCAATTTCAAAGTTTATGTTGTGATGCCACTGCTGCCTGCTTTTGAGGGAGAATTTGGTACCAATTCAGGTGCAGCCTTGCAGGCAGTCACTCACTGGAACTATTCCTCTATCTGCCGGGGTGGTTTCTCTCTCATGGAGAAACTTGCTCAAGAAGTCCCAGACCCTAATAAGTACATTGTCTTCTGTGGCTTGAGATCGTGGGACAGACTTGAAGGCAAACTAGTAAGTATTAGTTGTTCTCTTGTGCTTTATATGTCAGTCAATTAGCAGTCAGTTCTCTGGTTTACTAATCCATCGATCTGGATTTCTTTTCCTTCTGTGTTCATCCAACGATGAAAATGCATTGTGCCCGTTTGCAACATGGCTGAAGTATTTGCACCTTTTGGTAGATACATCTGATTTCTGCAGGCATTTGTTATCTAGATTATCTTCTCATTGATCTGGACTTAATCCCCATGTGGTGATATCTTAAACTAGAGGTGTTCCTGTAAAGGTTTCAGGGCCTCATTTTTGACAGGGAAATAGACACACTGCCGTTTAACTCTTTGAGTTCTAGGAGGTTTAGCATCACAGGCCCAGTGGGTAGTTAAGAAAGTAATAAAATCGGCACATCATGCGTTCATTGGGCTTCTAGGTAGGAACCTAAGAATATATGATGCATTCCTTGGGACTCAAAGAGTTAACGAGCGTATCATAAGATTCAACAAATTAGGGTTTTGCTGAAATTGAACGGTTGGTCTAAAAGGCACAGAAATCACAGCCTAGCTGTGAACCACAACACAGCTTGACAAATGCTTTTTTAAAATCTTAAGGCAGAAAAATAAGAAGAAGTTAAATCTAAGAACACTCATGTTCATCATCATCATGTAGTCAATCAATCAGGCCCCATCTCCATGATAAAGGTTTGCTGCAATGATCTTAAACACACACTGTTTTTTGCCCTGGTTGTACACTCCCTTTTATTGCCATACATCCGGCTCTTGTTCAGAGCTGCTGTGATGTAGTGGCAGATCTAAAGGTTGTGAGTTCAAATCCGCATGTAGATTTTTTTTTTTTTAAACTTGACCTTGGTTTCCGGTTGACCCAGCCTTAAAATGGGTGCCAGGTAAAGTCTTGGGAAGTGAAGGTGGCCAGCTTGATATTGACCACATAACCCATCAAGGACGGTTTATTGGCTATTTATAAATGTGAATCTTGCCTCATATGCCCGATGCATCACTGGCGTGCAAAGGAACCTTCACATGCTTACTCACTTACTTACTGAGGCTCGTAGCTGATGCAGTGAAGAGAGGCCGATATGGGATAACCCAGTGCAGTGAAGTCAGTACTCTCAACTTAAAATGGGTCTGCCTGTCTACCTGCTTGCCTGACTGCCTGCCTTTTTGTCTGCCTGACTGCCTGCCTATCTGCCTGCCTATCTGCCTGCCTATCTGCCTGCCTGTCAGTTCTCTCAACTCAACATGGGTCTGCTTTTCTGTCTGCCTGTCTGCCTTTCTACCTGCCTGTCTACCTGCCTGCCTGCATTTATGTCTGCCTGCCTGCCTTTCTGCCTGCCTGCCTGTTGGTTTGTCTGCATTGACATTCTATGAATTTTGCTGGTTGTCATTAATGATTTCACTATGAGAGTTTTGTGTATTTTTCTCATCAAGTTCACAGAGTTGATCTATGTGCACAGTAAGCTGATGATTGTTGATGATGACACTGTTATCATTGGCTCAGCCAACATCAATGATCGAAGTTTGTTAGGGGCTCGTGACAGCGAAATTGCCGTCCTGTTTGAGGACATTCACAAGGTTAATGTCACTGTCAATGGGAAACAGTATCAAGCAGGAAAATTTGCGTCTTCTCTACGATGGACAATATTCAGGTGTGTTCGACATTATAAAACTCATTTTATCCCATTTTGTTAAATTCTTTACACACTTTGTTGTGGAAGCTCTAAATCTCGTGAAAGATGCCTGATTTAAAGCCTCATAACTTAAATTCAAATTTAAAATTGTATTAAAAAATTGTGAGGTCTCACTGGCCAGGTGGTCAAGCCATTAGCCTCATGATCCCAAGGTTGTGGGTGAATTTGTGTCATTTGACTCACAGCGCATGTTGAGAAAGGTGGAGACAGGTATGCTCCGTGCAGAGTGGCAAGCATCACTTCAGAGGTCCCCATGTAGTTTATATCCTTTGGATATTCTCTCGAGGTCATGCCGGTGTGGTGGGAAATGAGCAGTCAGATAGACTGGCTGGTTCTGCACCACTTGGTGGTAAACTAGATGTTGTGAGGGCCCTCTTGGAGCGAGTGAACAGTGCGGAAGCTCAAATAGATCATAACGGTCTGAGGAGAATGGTACTGTAAGGAGTTGCCAGGGGATCTGGTCAATGTTCAGCACTCAAGGGAAAGGGGAGATGAATATACAATCAGACAGTTACTGGTACTATCGAAGTTAAAATTCTTCTTTTGCTGATGAAGATGGGGCGCTTATAGGAGTGTCCAGAGTGCTATGATATCGATTCTTAATTCAAAATTCAACATTTTTGTCATTTAGTTTATGAGTAGTAGTAGTAGTAGTAGTAGTAATAGTAGTAGTAGTGGTGGTGATGGTAGCAGCAGCAGCAGCAGTAGTAGTAAGTTGTTTAAAAATATTCTCGTTGAGTACAGTCAACGGAGTGCCTTGTGATCTTCACTAGAAATACAATGCTCTCAGAAGATGAATAGCTATTCTAAGGAGAGAGACTAAGCGTTAAGGATAAGACACAGTGCAATGAAAATTATACTCTCCCTTTAACGTTAACTTTATAACTTTACCTACTGGGATTTTTCAGTGACAGTGAGTGTTGGAAAATAATAATGGGAGTTGCCAATAAACTAGAGACTTCAAAACAAATGCCTAAGGAGATTCCTGCAAATATTTTGGCCAAATAAGATCATATGAAGGTCTCTTTTCCACGCCTTTAGGCGTATTGGGAATATAGGGCTAGACCATTCGGCTGTTGGTGGGTAATGTGGTCAGCATCACGCCGGCCACCTTTACTTCTTAGGACTGCACCTGGTACCCACCCAAGGCTGGGTCGACCTGGGAACCAAGAACAAGATCATATATTCTGCCTTTATTACTGCTACTTTCATTACACATATAGTATATGCATCTGCATCCTCCTCATGTCTTCACCTCATATCTTATATATTTTAATTACCTCCTTTTTTGGACGTAATTTTTTGTTATTTGAAGCCCCACTCTGGCTTTTGCCAGGGGCCGCAATATAGGCAGGCCATCAATATGGCCAATTGTCTGAAAGCGGTTTCTGGGACCTCTCCACGGTGATCCTCATCCACATGGTGGCACTTTGTGTCATCGGGTGTTTATCGCTTGTGTGATGTCCTAGTGCGGTAGAAAGTCAGTCAGTCAGTCTTCACCTCATGAGGAAAACAAAAGTTTTAATCTCTGGCAAGAGTTGTTAAATTTTGACCAAACAAGATCCCAGATAAGGAATTCAAGAGGGAAACAAAATGTTTATCACCAGCAAGAGTTGTCAAAGGATGAAGGAAATGGCTTGCTCATGACACTGGCTAGGATAACTCTTCAATGGATGGTGGATGGGAAAGGGAGACGTGGACAGCCTAAGGAAACCTGGAGAAGGACAGTAGAAATAAAATTGGAGTGTAAACTGACATGAGATAACTAGCAGGCTGACATCACTGGAGATTGCTTGTGAATATGTGTCAGCAGCTTATGAATATGTCTCAGCAGCATTATGAATATGTTATAAATGTATAGTATGTATATGTAATGAAAGTAGTATGATGACAGATACTGCCATTGAGCTGTGAGGTTCTCTGTGTGGGTTCTGGGCCCCATTGAGGAAATGGGGGAGGGAAGGGAAGGGGGGAAGACCCACACATCCTACACCTCCCCCTAACTCCCCCCCATAAAACATCTCATAAAAGTTAGCTAATTAGGGATGTTTCCCTCGAAGTCACAGTGCCTCTACCTGAGAGGCAAGGAACCAACTAATACAGATATGTATGCAGAACTCAAGTTCTGGAACAAAAATCCAGAAATGGATGAACAACCAGAACTTCCCACTGAGTTTTCAGCCAGTGAATGTGAAGAAGAAGAGATGTGGAGAGATTATGCAATAGCATGTTGTAAGTTTTTGCAGAATGAAGTAGAGCTGTCAGTTCCTTTCCTCACTGTGCTTCATCCCCAGACAGAAGAGTTAGCCATGAAATAAAGTAAACTTGTCCTTACAGCAAAGTGTAGTGATCGTTTGGAGAATGCAAATTAGAACATAGTATGGTCACTATAGCCATATCTATAACTTTCATATATCATACTGCCTAGTATTTCCTGTGATCTCCTGTAATAAACTCTAATTCTGCAAATGCCTCTTGGGAATTTATTTTGCAGACTATTTCATTTGTCTCAAGCTTTCCCAATTATTGACATTTTTATGTATGTATGGCATTTTGTTCTTGTAAATGATTACGTACTTGGCACACGTAAAATATACAGTAAAGAACCATTATCAAACCAGTGGCAAGTTGGGCATATGATGCTAAACTTATATTTTTCTGGACCGATAGGCACTCGACTTATCCTAATGGCCACCTTTACTTTCAAGGACATTTTCTGGTACCCTTTTTAGACTGGGTCGACCTGGAAGTTAAGGCTGATTTTGAAAAATAAATCTGTCTGGATGCAGATTCAACCTCAGGTCATTTGAGCCAGCAGGCGAGTATCTGACCATTGTGCTACCACAGCTGTGGTTTGGCAAATGTATACAAGAAATTAAGAGTGCAGTGATGTTGTCTCCACTTGTTGACTTTCATACTTGTCCACAGGGAGCATCTAGGCATTCACACAGACCCAGATTTTGTAGATCTGACAGACATCTCCAGTGATAGTTTTTATAAAGAAGTCTGGATTAAGAGGGCAGCTGTTAATACAACATGTTATGACAAAGTAAGCTTCTTTATTATTATAATAAGGGAATATTAAATTAATTCATTCACAATGTTTGAAGATTCTCGACACTGTTTGATTATTGCGGTTTTTTAAAAATTACCCTAAAAATGTGAATAGTGCAGAGGCCCAGACAGATCATTAAGGTCTGAGGAGAATATCACTACGAGGAGTTAGCAGGGAATCTGGCTGTCGCTCAACACCCAAAGGGAAATGCAAGACGAATATACAATCAAACAGTTACTGATACCATCAGAATTGGAACTCTTCACTGGCTGCTGAAGATGGGAACGGAGTGCTTATGGAAGTGTCCTGAGTGCTATGATGTTGATTCTTAATTCAGCATTAAACAACATTCAGTTCAATGTCCAGTCTGAGCAAATTCCTAATTCGTCGCCCTTTAAGCATATGTGTCAGGAGGGGTCTGTCATTGTTAAATGAGTCACGGAAATTACATGGGAAAAGATGGGAATAACTAAGAAAAGATTTTGGTAGAATCAACCAGCAGTTAGAATGTACTACGTGAGAACAACAGGCTACAAGGCAAGAGCAACCAAGAAATGCAGTATGACATTAACACCAGCTACACAACTAGTAAAAAACTTCATCTATCTACTCTCTTTGACACTTCACAGCATTAGCAATGGGAGAAAAAGAAGAAGAGGGAGACGATCTTTTCATAATAGAAGGGCACAAGGAGTACTTTTACACAACTTGTCTTTCTCAAATCAGTGCTGCCAACAATCCATCCAAGGTGGGTCACCCCCAAGAGCTACACAGACAAGCTGACCTCATCTCATTCGCTGCCAAGCCTAGGACTGCATTTAGAATTTCTAATTCTGTAAAAGCTAACCCAGGCAGCAAATGCCTGAAAAAGTCAGATGTGTTGGCAGAAAAGTGTAAATATCACAGCCATGCTGTAAACAGGCACAGTGATATATGTCCTCAAATAAATGGAGGGGAGACTGTGGGAGAAGAAGAATTGTGGTTGGAACAAAAATAAAAAAGAATTGCGTTTGAAATCCTGTATGCCTGTAATTTGTTTTATGTGGCTTCTAATATGTTTTATTCTCCCACTCTCTCTCTCTCTCTCTCTCTCTCTCTCTCTCTCTCTCTCTCTCTCTCTCTCTTCTCTCTCTCTCTCTCTCTCTCTCTCTCTCTCTCTCTCTCTCTCTCTCTCTCTCTCTCTCTGTCTCTCTCTCTCTCTGTCTCTCTATCTCTCTCTCTCTATTTTTTTTTTTCGCTTAGACATTTCCAAAAAATATTTCTCATTTTTTTCTCTCTTTTTTGATGACCTCCATTTTCTTAGTATTCCATTTTTCTTTTTCACAGGTGTTCAAATGTCTTCCAACAGACAATGTCAAAAACTACACACAGCTTAGAGAGTACCAAGCAGCCCCTTCATTAGCAAAAACCAACGAGGAAGAAGCCATGACCTGGCTGAAAAAGGTCAAAGGTTATTTAGTCCTCATGCCATTACAGTTTCTGAAAGAAGAGAAATTATCTCCTAAAGTAGGTCAGAAGGAAGCCGTTTTACCCACACATTTATGGACATAAGTTGCCTAACTTGAGACTTAAGGGGCAGCTTCTGTTTTTAAATCTTCAATGAGTATGCATTTTGTAAACCTTTCTTTTTTTTTAAACTTTACTGAAATGCATAAAGGTTTGTTATCAGGTGAACAGTTTTTTCACTTTGCTGATGTGCAACCAGTTCTTATCATAATTAGTAAAATTAATTACAAACCAGAGCATATTAAACTGTTTTAATTTGTTTCCTTATCGGTTGCTTTAAATGTTAAATTTGTTTGGCTAAGATTTATTGTCCACATAGTCATTGCTGGCAATGATAATTTTAATGCATAAATAAGGTTTTATCATTGTAAAAAATATGTGTGGCTAGTATTTTTGTGTGTGGTATACACCTGTTTTTTTTTTTCATTCTTTGTAAACACAATTACTTTTTCCACATTGTTGTTTGTACATATCAAGTTCTAAGAAAGTGTCTTTCTATGTACACATTTTTATACCTAAGGAACCTGTTTTCTGTACCTTTTTTAAAACTATATTTCTTAGGCTGCTGTCAGCACATTAATTGCCGGCATAGAAGCACGCTGTAGGAGAATTCATTTTATTTGTAAAGTGACAGTGTAGCAAGTAAACATATTTGCATTTTAAAAACATTTGTTTCCATCTTTTGGCTCTTTTTTTTTTTTTTAACCCTGTCATGCTCAAAACTGAGCCTGATATAAAGAGAGGTTGCTGGTCGAAATGGGGTCACTTTACAGTGAATTTTCAGAGCCAGTACTTCTAGATATATTTGCAGAAATCTCACGAGTTCTCTGTGACAATTTGATATATTAAAAAAATAAAAACAAAAGAAATTTGAAATAAAATTCACAACTGAATGAGAAATATTTACTATAGTGTACACATACATTTATGAAACATCACTGATATATTTACTTTTGTCATACAGCTGAATATATGTAATGCAACAGTCCCTGGCTTTTATAATTAAGAATTCTTTTACTTCCACAGTTTGTTTTTTAAAACTAAAGGAATGTCCATAATTTAGCTGCAGTTTTCAATGAAATTAGTCATGAATTTGTATGAATGATTAAGAAAGCTTGGCTCTCACATGAGAGACCTAGGTTCGGATCCTCGGTAAGGTAGTAACTTTTTTTCTGTCTGGTGTAAAAATAAAATCCTTATCTGCACAGTCTGTGGCGACAGAACTAGCCATGTGGCCCTACACCCTCAGGCTGAAAGACCCTCACCTACACCGCAAAAGTAGTAAATACAGACGGTAATGGCACTTTGACACAATGTGACGTTTTTAATTAACTAGTGACAGTTAATTTTGTTTGTGCTTAATTTATCACAGGAAGTAAGATATAGGCAATCTAATTGCAAATACTGCTGTACAGTGCAGTGTGAAGCATCAAGCTTTAACATAATCAAAGCCATTGTACATTGTGAGGTCAAGTTGCCAGGTATCTTCCCCAAAGCCTTCCTTTCCCACACATACAAATTGTAAGCCATCTCCACAGTAAAGGTTAGCTTCAATGCACACACTGCTGTATTTGAGAGTATTTTGTAGTGAGCTCAGAATCTTTTTTACAGCACAACTCTTGTACTATGTCTGTCTACCATCTAAAGTCAACCATCTGCAACAGAAATAACATCCTAGTGCATGGCTGATTATGAAGTTTTGAAATCTTACTGACCTCTAAATGACAGAGCGCTTTCTTTTTCATACAGTTCCCAGATTGTCATTTTATGTTATGAAGCTGGTTTTAAACTTTGTTAAAAAACTACAATATTTCTGGAGGAAAAAAGTTGTTTTTTAAAAAATATATTCTTTTTTGGGGCATAATTAACTTTTAAAACTTGGAACTATTAGTGAAAGCCTATATTAAGAGGTTTATTGACCATCTCCATTCCTTATCACCTTTCCACACCTTATCACCTTTTCTACCAAATTTCAGATAATGCCTGGTACTTGTTATTATGAGACTAGCTGGACCCAGGCCATGCTGGTACAAATAATCCATCCCTGTTTGGGATTGAAATCAGACCACTATCAAAGCAAACAAGTCATTGTGGGTGCTATATATGTGCTATATTAAATTAGCTAAATGACTGTGTTGTGAATAAAATAAAATATTTATATTTGAACCATATCATTTTTCTCTCTTCTAGTTTTTGCATTGCTGAAACAACTTGCATTGAAGCAGCATTGTTCGTTTGAATGTTCCATCTGCTTTATATTTCTATGTAGCATATGCTACAGTTGTTGCATATGTGGTGCCAAATACTTTGTTACAGCATTAACTGACTTAAGACCATGTTATTTAGCTGCAAATTACCTGGAATGTGAATTACATTTCACTTATTTATTGCAATTTTACACCTTTGTCACATTTTACCTAGCCTTAATAGCACACAGGCTTAAAGCTTGCCTGCCAGCCTAAAGGTTTAAGGCTCAAATCCACACTGAAGTACATTTATATAATTGACTTAGGACTCCCAGGTCAACTCAGCCTAAAATGGGTAGCCGGAAATGACAGGGAAGGCACTGGTGGCAGAATTGATGTTGATCATTTAATACATTAAGCGCCGATGGGGCTTTAGAAATATGGATCTAGCTCTGTAAGCCTATCATCCACCAAGTGCTGATTGGTCTACAGGGTTTGTCCTGAAAGTCATTGGATTGATACTGGCAAAGACAGTTTATTACTGACAGCAAGACCCACATTTTAAAATCTTCAAAGCAGGACCCTTGTGAAGTCACACAGTGCTGCCAATGTTGTTCCCATTGCTCGTATGCCCCATGGAACTCCTTCTCTGGGATGCTGCGAAGGTACCTCCTCGTGGCATTGTTTTGATTTTGGGTCTGCTCATGTGGGCCTTCTTCGGACGGGGTGACCCTTTCCGTTGCCTTTCAGAACTTTGCCCTTTGGTCTCTGGATCCTACTCAGACATCCAGGATTCGTCTCCTGTGATCACTTTCCGCAGAAAGTGTGGCTGTGCTGCCACAAGCTCCAACAATTCTTGCGAAATCATCATTCAGTCTTCTTTGTTTTGGTCAGTCAGCACTTTTGGACACCTAACAAGAATACCCTGGTACTATATACCACAGTGAGCCACACTGAAATGTTACAACGGGTATAGAGTGAGTGGAAGACCTCGGAAAATATGGAGTGATGGCATTAAGAACAGCCTTACAGAAATGAACTTAAACTTAATAGTGCTCTTGACAGAGCTCATCAACGAATGTTACATCTCCCCTCGACACTTCACTGAGGTACAAGGTGGAAGAGAAGAAGAAGAAAAAGAAGTTTTGGCACCAACTTTGTGCACCCTTTTTGCATGCCCAATTCTTGCACAAAAATTTCATAAACTTGTGTTTTGGGCAAATTTAGTTTTTGTCATTAATCGATCACTGTTCAAACGGTTCCGCACACAGTCCATGTTTTCCTTTCTTCTGGTGGCAGAAGGTCAACCCATCCATTTCTCGTCCTCAGCAGCTTCTCTACTCTCCTTGAAGGCCTTAAACATCATCAATTGACTCAAACATTCATTGTCGTATTCTGTCTTTAACATTTCCAACATCTCTGTCCCAGATTTTCTGAGTTTGACACAATGTTCGATGGAACGTTCCACTTTTTCACGACATATCACTCATACAGGGATGCACTACTTCCATGATCCGCACACTCCAACTGCTTGTCGACAACTGGGACTGGTTGCAGCGCGTAGCTAACACACCCGACCACCCCACAGATTTCCCTGCTCACGGTGCATGTGTGAAACTACAGCGCTTGTCCAATTACTTTCAGGACACACCCAGTATAAAATATGGGTCTAGCATTGTATGCATTAAGGCATGCGAAAGGGTCCTCTCTTGAATTTTTTCCTTTTTTTTTTTTAACTTTTACTGTCTGATTGGCTCACGATGTGAAAAAGATTCCTGACTTTCTTTACTTAAATTTTTGAGGGAATGAAATTTCCTACTGTTTTTATGTTGTTGCATATATGGATTGGGACTTATATACGTGTTGATTATATTCTTTATCACATGCAAAATTTCACAAAACAAGGCATTTATTTAAATACATATTTCATGCAGAACTTTGCTCACATTGTTACCATAGTTTGCCCATTCCAGATGTTACTAATGCATTATCTTGTCATATCAGAATGAGTGTTTTCAGTTGGTCACACAGTTATGTTACTGACTCAACTTATCATGTTGCTAACTGTTGTTCTTATTGTCCAGAGTTAATGTTCAAAGTTTTTCTGAACTCATTCCGGTCCTCCCCAGCGATGCACTTTGGTTTTTATTAGAATCAGTTTTTGGGTGATGGTGATACATGTTAACATTTTTGAAATTATGATTTTTATTTTGGGTCTCTCTCTCACTGTATAATCTCCCCACTACCTGAAGCTCTTTCAAATGTAGAGACTTCAGTTATCTGTGAGAGGAGTTGTATGTGAGCAGTAGTTGTATATAAGAGACTGTTGTATGTGAGAGGCTTTTGTCTGTGAGAGGCAGAGATATGTTAGAGGCTGTTGAATGTGAAGCAGATATAAGTGAGGCTATTGTAAGTGAGAGGCAGAAAAGTGAGAGGCTGTTGTACATGAGAGGCAGATGTAAGTGAGAGGCAGATGTAAGTGAGAGGCAGATGTAAGTGAGAGGCAGATGTGAGTGAGAGGCAGATGTGAGTGAGAGGCAGATGTGAGTGAGAGGCAGATGTAAGTGAGAGGCAGATGTAAGTGAGAGGCTGTTGTACATGAGAGGCAGATGTGAGTGAGAGGCAGATGTAAGTGAGGGGCTGTTGTACATGAGAGGCAGATGTAAGTGAGAGGCAGATGTGAGTGAGAGGCAGATGTAAGTGAGGGGCTGTTGTACATGAGAGGCAGATGTGAGTGAGAGGCAGATGTAAGTGAGAGGCAGATGTAAGTGAGAGGCAGATGTAAGTGAGAGGCAGATGTAAGTGAGAGGCAGATGTACATGAGAGGCAGATGTAAGTGAGAGGCAGATGTGAGTGAGA